CTCGCAGCCAGTCAGACAAGGCTTTGCAAGGCTGGGTGGCCCAAGCAGGATCATTTCTCCATACACCTCAGCAAACCTGTTCTGTTTGCCATCAAGTTTAGTCCCCCGAATTCGGCCGCTGCGTGAAGGTGCTTCTGGAGAGCATGGAACAGCTTTGACTGAGTCAAGCTGAATGATGATGGTCTTTGCTGTGTCATTTGTGATAGAAAATGGTGTCATTGTCCTCATCCTCGTCCTCCTCCTCCTTGTGGTCGTGGCGGCGGCGGTGCTCATGGTGGTATTGGTGGTGCTGTTGGCGGTGTTGGTTCTTATGGGTGTGAGGGCATCGTAGCTATTGCCTGCCGGATTTTGACAGGCGTATGCCCAGCGTGTGACGGACACAGAAGTTGCTCGGACGCAGCATCATGAACTGGGCAGATACCTTTCGCTGTCAAGGTTAAACGAGTATTTCCGAAACACAGGCGGTCCGTCTCTTTCATCCGGAGATATTATAATGCATACAGGCTTGTCCCAAAAAGGGACGCCACAATTCTTACAAAACCCAAAACGTGAATTTTCCATGTCTTTTCCTTGACAAGTTACCCTACAGCCTGGCCACAGTTGCAAACTTAGGTGGCAAGTTTTGCCAGGATTGAGTTTGTCAATTAACGCGCATACAGCAGAATAGTGACACCGCCAACACTTCTGACAGGCTTCTTGCTCCTTAAGATCTCACTTCCTTGTTGGACGATGTTTGTGACAACGATGACGTTCATGATGATGATGATGATGATGATGCTGATTTTCATTTGCGTATTCTTGCAGGATCCCCTGAAGGCAGCCCACATCGAGAATCTCATCCTAGGTCCTCATCTGTAGACCATCTTAAGCCCCAATCCACAATCCCCAAAACACCCAAGTTAACCTCTAGGTTGTGATCCTTTTAGCCCTCTTAAATGGTAGTTTCCCTAAATAAGGGGACCCCAATATAGACCCCAAAATACTATAATCCTTATTATGGGGACCCCCAGAAAGGTACCCCTAATTTTGGGAAACCCCCAAATCTGAAAGGAGCTAAGGAAGCTGCTCGCTTGATGAGACGCCGCCTGGCCAGGGCTGTGGTCTGTTTTTTCAGGGTTACGATATAGTCCCCCTTGGGTTATATAGGGGTTATATTAGGGTTATATTAGGGTTTAGGGTTTAGGGTTTAGGGTTTAAGGTGTTATTGGGGATATATGGGGATAATGGAAAAGAAAATGGAAACTACTACTTAGGGTTAAGGGTTTGGGGTATAGGGGGACCCTTAAGGGGGTTATGTAGGGTTTAGGGTTTATTCCCGTATGAAAAGAACATGGAAAATTAAATGGAAACTAGGGGAAGATAGGTCCCCTTAAGTAGATAGAATATGGCTTTGGTTATATTCTAGTAAGATCTCCATATATAATTGGATTATTACTCGTACTGCTATTATGATCACTACAACTAGTATTGTCATTACGACTATAGGTTTTATGAGTATGATTCATACTACGAGTGTTATTGGTACTGTTGCTACTACTATTGCTGGGGTTATCGGTTTTGGGTTAAGGTTGAGAGTCAAGGGAGTGGGGCTTAGGGCTTAGCGTGTAGGGCTAGACCTTGCAGTCAAGGGTTTGTGGTCAAGGGTCTAGGTTCAGGGATTAGTGTCTAGCGTTTTGGGTTCAGGGGCCAGGCTTGAGAAAATGTATCCAAGTGGCTGGAGAGCTCAATGCTGTGTGCGGGTTTTCAGAGAGTGGGGGCTGCCGTTTTGGCCTTGTTTGTGGACCCTGGTACACTGCGGTAACATAGACATAGACTACAGGCTAGAACAGTGCCTCTTGCATTGCTCCCGCATATTCAAGGTTTCAGTTTCGTAGGGTCATGCATGATTATTGGTGTCAGTGGTACTTGAATGCCGATATCCTGTTGCAATAATCCGTTACAGAGCTGGTGAAGGAAATCCAGCACGGACAGGGCACGCCCAACTGCTTTTTGATCTTGTCTGGGAGGTGGGTGGAGAAGGAAGATGGGGAGACGAGGAAGGATTGTATTGTTGAAGATTGTAAGACCACGCACTTAACTCGGACTCACTAGCTTTGCATCTAAAGTGAGGCTATGACGTGATCGTGGACTGCACAGATGCTCCGCGCATCCGCTACCAGCTGAACGATGCGGCGATTGCTGCAGGTAAGCCCCTTGTATCCGCGTCGGCGGTTGGGCTGCCCGGCTGCGTGAAGCTGGCTGCACGGTAAGTGGAATCGCACAGCAATTTCCTTGAACACCTTGATCATAAGTGTGTAAGGAGCCCCCCGAAGGACACTTGCTTCTCTTTTGCATCCGACTCTTGACATCCATCAGCCAACCCGCGGACATTGCAGGAAGCGTAGATTGCTTTTGCAAGACAGGATGGACCCGGATCCGAATCTTCTCTTCCTGTTCCATCTTACCACTGAGGCTTTGTGGACAGATTGCACTTTACAACTTTGAGGGGGGCCCGTGCCTCCGAGACGAGACTTGTCTGCAAGAAGGTCAGGCAGGAGTCTGTGTTTGTCTGTGTAATCCCTGAATGGCAGACAGGCCAAACTCACAAAGCCTTGGTTATATGAGTGTGGACATGGCCTACACAATAATAGTAATAATAATAGTAATAACAATAAAAGTAATAATATTAATAATAATAGTAATAACAATAATAGTAATAATAATAATCGTAATAATAATAATAGTAATAATAGTAATAATAATAGTAATAATAATAGTAACAATAGTAATAATAGTAATAATAGTAATAATAGTAATAATTTTAAATAATAATAGTAGTAACAGTTGCATCACCTGCAAGCTCACAGAAACGTTGCGCCACCTTTACAAATCAAAGTGCGCACACAAGCATTGAACCTGGTACAGAGCCAGTAGTACAAATCAACGCAAATCCGGCCAGCTTACGACAACGTCGGTTCCAGTCAGTTCTGCACATCTAAAGCGTGAAAGTTACATTTCTAGTGATTTTCCAGTATGTGCCAAAACGACCTGTGAGCCAGAACGCTACACCTCCAATGTATGTTTGCTCAGGTAAGTATTTTGGACCAAACTTCCTATGGGAGGTTTCATAAATGGGATCCCCTTATGCACTCCGAAGTGCTAAAAGCCTTACAAGCACTCTTAATTAGAAAAAACATATCGTCTTAATTGAATCTACACAATAGCCCTCTCATGATGAAGCGCTTCTCCTAGCCCAACCCATGGGTTTAGAATTTGGGAATTCATGGATTCGTCAGGTGCCCCCCTCTCACTAATTGTTCTGTAGTTGAAGCACACGGGAGTTGCCAGGAATCCTTGCGGTTGCCTAGGGAGCACCGGCGTACCCTATGACCTACACTCCAAACCCTAAACCCCACACCATAACTTCAAAGCTCTCAACTTTCTAAGCTCTCAACTTTAAGCTCTAAACTCTAGGTTTGATGACAGTCAGGCATCTCTCCCGGATGGAAGCCCCAAACCTGCAGACTTCAGAATCAAGCCTCCAGACGCCGGAACCAGTTGCTACAGTGGCGGAAAGCGATGTTGCTTTTAATTGCTGGCTTTTCAGATGTTGCAAGCTGGATCTTTCAACGGGTCTGCGATGACGGCTGCTCTCCTTTCAGTAGCGCTCTCATTTAAGCTCTAGTGCCCAAACCTTGAACAACACAGATACGCAGATCCTACACGCTAAACACCTGACACCCTGAAGCCGCAAAACCCTGCGCCCATGCCAGAAGCTTTATAAGATGCTCGTGGAATTAGGGTTGCCTCTGAGTCCCTGCCCTGTAGGCCTACACCTGCTGCCAGCGGAGAAAAGAAGTCCTGCAACAAAACCACACCCTAAACTCTGCCCTGTAAAATCCCAAGCCAGTCCTAAGTAAACCCCTAAACCCTGCACTGTAAAATCCCAAACCAGTCCTAAGTAAACTGCAAACCCTCGTAATCTCATAATATAAACCCTATAATTATTGTATATAAACCCTATAAATCCCTATAAATACTGTATATATACCCTATAAATCCCTATAAATATTGTATATATACCCTATAAATAGTATATATAAACACTAAAAAGCCGCAAAGGTTTTTCCCCCGCCGTCCGCTGAGCCCGAGATGGCCCAGGTGTCCTCCTGCGAGGACCCTGCGCGGGAGTCTGTCACCGTGCGGGTACAACGGGTTGAGGGTTTCCCAAAATTAGGGGTTATATAGGGGTTATATAGGGGTTACATAGGGTTTTGGACTTTCCAAAAAGTAGGTGTACCTACTATAATGGAGAATCAAATGGAAAAGAAAATGGAAAATGAAATGGATATATAGGGGATTATAGGGGTTAGGGTTCCCCAAAGTAGGGGTACCTTTTTGGGGGTTCCCAGAATAAAGATTATAGTAGTTGGGGGTCTATATTGGGGTCCCCTTATTTAGGCAAACTACCATATGTTTTGGATTAGGCAAACTACTATATGTTTTGGATGACATGTGAGGCACGGGTATGTAGCGTTAGGGTTTAGAAATTAGGGACTAGGGTTTAGAAATTAAGCGCTGGAAGTTTCTCAACATGGAGGCCCCTAGGGGCCCGCCCCATCCGCATCACGAATATCAATCATATGGTTACGTCCTCACGTTAACTGAACACAACTATCACGCTGCTGATGCTTCTGCTACCCATACCTCCAATAACATACTGTAATACTACTCCTGTGATGCTTGTGCAGGTGCAGTGCAGGTTTAGGTGCTGCTGCTGCTGCTGCTGCTGCTGCTGCGGCTGCTGCGCCAGCGTGCGGGTGGGTATCGAAGGATGAGCGCAAAATGTGGCCTCATTCTGACAACATGTGAAGAAGCGATAGATTTGCGACCCAGATACCCTACAAGCCTTTTTAATGATCGACGATTCCTTAACCCGATTTACGAGGCCTAGGAAAATGTTAACTCGAGGCACACTCCTCAACAAAGGGACGGTAGGAATGGAGCCCTGCTCTGTGCAGGAGAACGGTGTGCTCGGCCCTATAGTTGGCATCGTCGGGTCGATGGCGGCCCTCGAGGTTCTGAAGGCCCAGGGGAAGAGAATTCTAGAAATCCTGTGAAAGCTTCACTGGAATGCCCATGCCTCCACCCCCTTCGAACTCCTTTGAGATTCCCATGACTTGAAGGGGCCTGGCCTTGGGTGGGCTTGGTGAACATAGTTGTAGCCAACTGTAGCTATGGAAGTTCTGACTGTGATTTGTGAAGGTTGCTGCTCATAAGTCGTCATCAGTAACTTGTTTCTTGGTTTCTCCGTTGGATCCCACGGTCTTCAGACATGACTGGGGTCGTTATATCATTCCGAGAAGGCGGCCACATGCAGTAGTAGTGCTAGGAGATGTCAGGAACCTGTAGTGCTGATCGGAGATTTCTTTGGTCCGCTGTCTCCCCGTGCGACCCCTAAGCAGTTGAGCGCATGAGGGCGACATCTTTTTCGCTGCGGAAAGCTTGCGGGGTTATAGGGTCAGGGAGGATGGTTGGCTATAGAATGACTTTGGCTTGTACGTAACTACCCCCACCTTCACCCCAACCCCAACCCGTCTTCACACGAAACAAGTCTATATCAAACAATATAGAGCCTAGGGCGGAGGGGTCGCCTCCTACTACTAGTGCTGCTACTGCTGCTACTGCTACGGCTACTGCTCCTGCTGCTGCGGCTACGACGACAACGATGAGGACAACTGTCAATGACATAGATGCAATGGTTTTTCTGTCTTACGCGTTATAGCAACCCGGTTTAGGCAAAAATTGTGTAGGCCTCGATAGCCAGAGTTGCTAGTCGATTCGTCGTCAGGCTTCTGTGTCCCTTACAGGTCCTGGCGAAGTCGTCACCTCTTCACGCATCCTGCTTGAGGCTGGGGGAGGTCCTCTTTTGAGGTGACTAGGGCTTTCCTTCCTCCCCTCAGCACGGTCTGGAAGCACTCTGTTTTTCCTACTAAGTTTCGCGCGGCTATGGGTCCGTGTCGTTAAACTGAGTCCCGGCAACGGGTGTGTGTGAAATCTCTACTTGTCAGGGTGGACCCTACTGGACCGAAGGTTCAGCTTGAAGTTGTCAGGCAGCTGGGCAGTTGTGGCTTCAGACGGACCCGCTAGAAATTTATGTCTGGTCTGCATGAAGAGCCACAAAAAAGCTTGCTCAAAAAAGTAGGCACTTTGTGAGGGCCCTCTTGTGCCGCCCGACTTATTTACCTCCCTCTTCACCTCTTTAGGATGTCCCAACTCTATGCGGCAATGTTTCGGGGGTGCACTTCATTGAAGATTCTCATATTTAAAGTCATGAATTGGGTACTGCGCCGCCCAGCACCAGATTGCAGTAGGGTACAAATTAGGGGCTATAGAACGTTTGAATACGATCATTATGCAGCTGTTTGTGGGTGGATGAGACCTGCTCTTGAGGAACGGTCACAAATAGCCCTGGCTCATGCAGGGGGAAGATGATTTGCTATGATGCGGCCAACATCTCCCAGCCGATCTACATGGTGAAGTTGCCCAGGTGCCTAGAGTCTTATTCATTTGATCCTCAACACTGAATCCTAAGCCTCTAACCCTAACAGTCGGTACTTCCCAATATTACACCAACTCTAAACCATATGTACTATAGTCTAAACTCCTTAAGGGGGGGTTATATAGGGGATTATACAGGGGACAATTATAGGGTTATTGGGGGGATACTAGGAATTTATACTATAGCTCATATGAAGGGGAGAGGTTTCATTCATCTCGAAGGCAGCCAAAGACTGCTGACTGCGCCAACGTTGCCAGCCAGCAGCAGCTGCCACCCGAAGGCTCGCTTCTCAACCACTTTTGAGAGCAAGCTATGGGTCTAAGGATAATGAAAGGACTGTGGCAGCCCCATCCCCCAAATCCATAGGCCTTAAGGTCAAAGCATTTGCAGGGTCCTAATTTCCCGGGGGGGGGGGTTGGGAGATACCAAAATCCTTTCATGAAAGGATCCTCTTATGAAGGATTTCAAGAAGGATCTCAGGGTTTCTCTTCTTGTTTTTTGCTTCCTCATTTTGCACATTTATTTTCACGGTTGTTTTCATGGTTTCTCGCCTGGACATCAGCTCCTGGGAGCACTCAGGGTGAACCTGGGCTTCCTTGAGGTACGTGAGCACACTTCCCCACCCACACGGGACGGTGTTTTTTTTCTCGATATACAAGAAATGCTGAGTTAGCAGCCGCTTTCCTTGATTTAGCCGAGATGTTTATGCCATACCTCAAAGATGGTTGTATCATCCAAGCTCGAACCTCAAAAGAAAGCTGTTGAAACAACACATGTAGCCCACAGAAGCAGGTACCAGTAGAACCGGGTGAGCCCTGTACCTTCAAGTCCTGGAAGGCTGCTGCCCCTACATGGCTGGCGATGCTTCAGACAGCGGCTTTGCTTTTCGTATTCCCAAATATGAAGTTACGTAGGCGTTATGTAGGGATTATATAAAGATAACAGAAAAGAAAATGCAAGCTACTACTTACAGTAGGGTTCAGGGGACCTCTTTATACTCTACGCCCCGAATCCAAGATTCCAAGCCAACGCCCGGGCCGCAAACCTCTGTGGAGAGGAATGCGAGTGCTGGGGATGAAGTGCCAAGCGAAACGGTCAGATGCAAACATGCAGGGAACTCGATAGCACCCCCAAAGCGTGGGGCGCCATAGATGAGGAGCCTTTACGTTGAGTCACAGGGCACTCATGTCTTTCTTGGGAATAGTGAAGTCAACATTCCTATTTTGACCGGTGGTGCACATCCGAGTAGTATCAGGCTAAGCCCTTCACTACACTCAACAGCCGGAACCCCCTATGTGGCCGGGCAGAGACCAAGGTATCTCTGCATCAGAGCTTCGTGCGCGGCTGTTGGCAAAAGTGCCGATATTGCTGCTGGATGTGAGGCTTATCCCTTCCTGTGTCAGGACACAAGATGTTGCCGTACACGATTTCGGGTCAAGGGTCGTACAATCCGATCATGTTTTCTAGCTCAGTTTTCTCATGTCTGGAAGTAAGATCAGAAGACCTTGCCTTGCGTACGGACAAGGCTCGCAGTTCTGTTCGAGTTGCCAGCGCTTGAAACATGCGACCTGTGCTTTGCAAAAAGTAAGCGGGACTGTTAGTACCTCAGCAAAGAACATGTTGTGAGCAGTCGTCAAGTTTCTTATGCGGCCTTTTTGTTTGCCCCGTTCTCATGTCTTGAAGATTCCCATGAGGGCTGAAACTCGGCTTGCAAGATTTGTTGGGTTCTGGTAGCCAAAAGACCCTACGCATTTCTGGGAGATTATGGGGAGATTCAAGGTGTGCACCTTGTGCACCGTGTAGAGATCATTCTGAGAAACACCTGCTTCCAATCTTTGGGTGAAGGCATCCCAGCCACTTCGCCGTTTGCCGGTTGAAGGCGGGCAGGTTTTGGGGTGAGGGAGCTGGAAGGCTTCCAGATATGTTTCTGTTTTGGATGCTGAATCACGATTTCAGGGGCTTGTGCCCTAAACCCTAAACTGCGTGGGGCTTAGGGTTGCGGGGTAATCCTCAACAGCTTCAGTTCATGGCCAAGAGCTTAAGGGATAGGATTAAGGCTTAGGGTATGCAAAACATTTTGGGATCAGGCATCTAGAATCTAGACTCTAAACCGCTTTACTCTGTCTAAGTCTGAGGACTTGCTACGTCTTTCCCCTCCCCACACAGCCTGCGATGCGAAAGCCGACCAGACCACCAACGCTGGTATCACCTTGATCTCAAGGACTTGTGGGGTTTTGAGGTTTAGGGTTTCTGGGAATATGGCAGAAACCCCTAAACCCTAAACCCCAAACCCAACCCATTTCTTAAGGCCCCTTGTTTCAGGCTCCAAGTTGAGAATAGCGAGGAGGAGAAGCAGTGAAGCCGTGATCAGAGAATAATTTTTGGAAAATAGGAGGACCCCAATAAAACAACAAAATGCTATAATCCTTGTTACTGGGACCCTCAAATGGGTTGGGAAACTCCCATTTGTGCAGATGAGCTTGTCCTCCGCAGAAGCCCACAGTTTCAAAACAAAGCCCCTGATGTTACATGGGTTGTTCTCAAAATTGTGGACCCCTTTTGGTCATAGGTTATGTTACTGCACCTGATATTTAGGGGTACCCAAACGGGACCCAAGTTTGGGAACTACCCACATACCCGGCAACGAAACCAAAATACCATAGCGCGGAGGGTTTAATGTGAGAGTCTTCGGGTGCTTACATGATCTATAATCTTAACTCCTAGCACCCCTTAGCAGCCCCTATAATACTCCCCTACATAATCCCTCATATAACCCCTTTTAGGGATTTATATTATGACTCAAAGGAGGACCACCTGACCCAATACCAACCCTGAGCCCAACACCACTGTAGCTTTAGGGTTTAGGGTCCCAGTTATACACAGGAAGCCCCCAAACTTGCCTTGCAAATATTAGTTTAGGGTTGAGGGTTTCGGGTTTGTAGGGAATGGGGCTACGTTACAGGGTTTCGGGTTTGGAGGGTCAGGAGGACCAAGCAAATATGCTTACAATTAACCCTTTTCAGCCATAGAATAACCCTAGTTATCCCCAGTACTAGCCTACATACTAAGTTATTAAGTCCCCCTGACCCCCCCCAAGTACTGTACTTGCATAACAGGAGGCTGTATGAGATACCGTTAGTTAGTCCGGGAAACGGTAGAACTTCTGGTATTATGGAGCCTTCGCCCGGAGGGATGCTTTAGTAGGATTCGCGAGCCAGGTAGGTATACAGTCCCCCTGAAGTAGATAGAATATGGCGTTTATATAATAATAAGATCCCTATATACCCCATATTCTATCTACTGCCGGGCAGGCCAGCCGCTCTTGGAGCCCGGACAAGTCACCATTCAAGTAGTATCTACGCTATTCGTAATAGCAGTGTTATGTTTTCCAATACATCTCAAGGACTGTCCAGAACCTCGCATCTTGCCACCCAAGCATAATACACGCACATGCATATGTGTGTATATGCATATGGTAGTTTTCCACCCAAAATAGGGGAACCCCAATATAGACCCCCAAATACTATAGTCCTTATTATGGGAACCCCCAAAAAGGTATCCCTGATTTTGGGAAATCTCCATATATGGGGGCTGTTCAGGGCTTAGGGTTTCGGGACATTACCCCATGAATGGAAGATCATTTGGAAAAGAACAAGGACAATGACATGAAAAGCTGGGATGATAGAGGAATTTGAAGTTTAGGAATTGCTGGAATACTGATCCATGTGACTCACACCATTAGGGTTTAGGATTTAAGGTAGTCTCCGACGATGTCTCTACCTAGCATGGATTCCCCTGCCGACCGCTTTCTAAAGAATATTCAAATCCCCAAACCCTACTACGGAATATTCCACTCACTCATACAACCGATGATCGAAATATCGATTTGCAGGGGAGTAAAGGTTTTTTTTGGCAATGGAGGGATCATGTTTGAGCCCTACACCCTAAACCCTAATCCGCATGTTACTAAACCCTAAACCCTAAACTCCTAAACCCTAATCCGCATGTTACTGCTGGGGTTGCTGACCCATTTCTTTGGCGACTCGCCTCGGCTGAGAGGCGGTTGCGGTTCTGCTTCTTCTCACTGGTAACTTGCTGAGACTTACGTGGGGATGAAGGCAAAAAAGAAAATAATGTGGAAACTACATTGTTTGGGGCCTGGTGTGTCGGGAATGACGGAATAGGTTCCAGGGACGATGCTTGTTTTCTTCTTCAGAATTGCTGTTGAGATACATGCCCTACTATGCGCCAGGCATGTGTGGGCTTAGTCGTCAGGCTTAGTGCTTACAGCCGTTTAGGGGGCTTCCCGCATTTGAGCCATCACAGTGTCGGCCTTAACCCTAAGCCCTAGAACCTGAATCCAAACCGCCTCATGAATGCACCTCATGCCTAGGGGGAATGTGCAGATTTGAAGAACTCCTCTTCCCACTTCTGGCAGTAGACCCAAACGGTGGCTTCTAGAAGCAGAGGTGCCCAATATGAACCCCAACCTACCTGCATCCTTACAAAAAGGGGCTACCACAAAAAGGCCCCAAACTTTTGGAAGCCACCAAACCCTATACATCCTGAGACCCCTTTAGGGGCCTAACTCGAGGCCAAAGGCTGAAAAACTGCGCTGACGCATGAATCGTCTGCCTTGAGGCTTCTCTCAAACAGGCTCCAATACTGTTGATGGAGGAAATCTTGCACCACCTCCAGTCCCTAAAGTCCTAGGAATTACAATAGTTTAGGGCCCGTTAGGTGGTGCAAGATTTCATCCATCAACAGTATCTGGGTCCTTGTTGGTGGCAGCATTTACCCAGACAAGCTGAGACTCCTGTGGGGCTTGACTTCGCATTGAAAAAATGTGTTGAAAGCCATTTCGAGGAATGCCCCGCTTACGGGCTCTGAAGGCCTCTTTAAGGGGATTGCAGGTGTGATATAGGCTATACAGATATAGAGGGCCACATGCGGTCTAGGGGTTGCTGTCTGTGAGCCCCAGGATCAGCTGGAACTTTGCCACGGGCATGCACTACGCAAGCGCTTCTAGGGGTTACCCTTAACCCTAAACCTAGAGAACCGAATTTTCCTAGATCGCGGGTCTCAGGTAGGCTGTGTTTCGAAACTACAGATCATGAGAGACATATTCTAAACTCCAAGTATCCCCCTTAATTACCCCTTTTGTAGTCCCCTATATAACCCTCTTTAAGGAATTTAGGCTATAGTTCATATACCACAAACCCTATAACCTAAACTCTAAACCCTAAATCCCTAAACCCCAAATCCCGAAACCCGAAACCCTTAACCCCATATAATCCCTTAGGTAACCCCGAATCAGCCCTAAACCCTAAAACCCTAAACCCTAAAACCCCAAACCCACCCTAAACCTTGAATCCTAAAAGGGACTTTGCTCTGATTGAGACCATCGCTGGGCCAGCGAAATGGCCGCCAGACGTCTCGGCTGGGTGCAGACCTTTGGCCACTTTATAGTGTTAAGGGTGCAGGATTTAGGGTTTTGGGGTTTAGGATTTAAGGGTTTGGGATACAGGTTTAGGATTCAGGGCTTAGGATTCAGGATTTAGGGTTCAGGATTTAGGGTTCAGGGAGTTTCTCAAAAAGGGAGCCGCCAGGACCTTCCGGATAGATAGGGAAACAATGGGAGTATGGGGCAGTATGGGGTTTCGTTCCGGAAAGCCGCGAAAGCTATCAGACATTGAGAGTCCCTTTTTGGCAGGCCCCAATGTTAACAATTATCGGATTTGGGCGGGTCCTTAAGCCAGATGTCTTTGTTTGGGGAGTGGCGGGCGTCCCTATTTTGTAGGAGCAGGTATGATAAGCCCCAAATCGTGGGCTCCGTGGGAAATTTGAGTGTACCTGTTGTGAAACGGTTGCAGTATGAAGTAGGGATAGGGGTGGAGAAGTTCGGAGTCGTAGGCTGTTCGGTGCAGGCTTGCAGTTAGGCGCACTTCCACAAGATAACAGCTGGCAGCACTGCAGAGGGCCGCCTTCTGGGGGTCCGTTCCGGGTGCCCTATGCCAACTACTGGTAACTTTTTCGGCCCCGGTAGCACATTCAGGCCTGATGGTTGGACCGTTGGACCTCTGAACTCTAGATCCTAGACCCCAAACCCTAGAAATCTAAACCTAAAGTATCGTGGTTGCTGGAACCTGAAACCTGCGTGCCTCCCATTGCAGGCGCGGTAACCCAACTTTGACCATCTAAAACTGCATATGACGGGCGAATGACCACAGCTCCCCCAAGCGTCTAGCTTGGACAAGGATTACTGCTGCAGGTGCGTTTGGTGCACGGGAGCTTGCTTCATGAACATGCTAGGAAACATATGGCTAACGACATATGCTGGTGATGAGCAAAGATTCGGAACTTGAAGCCTTCAGATAGCCAGCACATATAATCCCCCTTAAGTAGAGGGAAGAGGGCTTTGGGTATGTTACAATACTGTCCCATATACCCCATATTCTATCTACTTAAGGGGGACTATACCCCAGTTTGATGGTTGTCAGTAGGGAATAGAGGAATGGATCGCTGAAGTAGCCTCCATATGGCCCTTGGGTTAGGGTAGTGTCCCCCGTCTTTTCGATTCCTACCCCTAAACCCCAAAACCTGAATCGTAGTTTCCATGTCCTTTTCTCCTTCATCACCTGCTAACCAGAAGTAGGTCATGTAGCCACTATGTGTACCCCACATTCCATTTCATCTTCCATGTTCTATTCCACTTGGTCCTCCATAACCGCGTAATATCCATATAGAACACTAATCCGTAAACCCTAAACCCCAATATAATCCCGAAGCCCTAGACCCCATATGAGCTACAGTCTATAAACTCCCGTATCCCCCTTGATAACCCCCATAATACTCTCCCATAGAATCCCCTATATAACC